AAAGACCGTAGCAGAGAGACTAAGAACGTTCATATATGTATGTACAGTGTAGGGGGGAAATTCGCTATCTTTCTATAATATTAACTTTATTTGCTTTAAACGTGATATATAAGAGAAAAATTAAATAACAATATTTATTTAGTCAGTTTAAAAGATACTTAACAAGAACAGGGTTGTGACGGTTTCCTAATGATATTTCTCATAGGCGTGTTTTGCACGTTTGTCCGTCAGCAGTTGACATCTATCACGATTTGGACAAGCTTTACAGTCATTACAGATTACTTTAAGTAATATAGAAAAACAAATAAAAACAACAATTTGATATAGCGCCCTAGCTTGAATACGCCACTCTAAAGCGCTTTAAAGTATAAAGATATACAATGACAATGTGATGATCTGGATTTTTGCTATCCTGGATTGTAAATAGTTTGGCTCAGATAGATTACTCAGTATTTATTTAATGTGTGATATACAAGTAGCAGTAGATATGTTGTCAACATGCGGTCTATCTAGAAGCACCAGAATTATCCCACAGCTGACAAATCATAACAGGAACTCGTCTCTTTTTGTCAAATCTAAATTCACACGTTCGATACAATTGACAGAAATGTCAAATATTTCATCCAAAAACAATCTAAGGTGTACAGTTCTACTGTATTTGGGTAGAATTTAGAAATAAACAGCTAAGCTTTGCCCACTTTTATTAAACATCTCAAGGTTAAGGAAAATCTCAAGCAATGTTTTGTCTATGGGAAATCTTAGACTTGAGGAACTCTAAAAAGTTGAGATGTTTTATACAAGTGGGCCCTGGGCATTTAAGGACGTGAACATATATTTGTGGACTGTTACGGAAACATTACCTAAAGGAATTCAAGCATATACTTATTTATAATGCATTAATTGATTAAGTTTTTCCATTAGTATATACTTAGGACCTTAATGTTCCGACAACTTATATGGATATGTTTTTTTTCAACTCTATACATTTACATGTTTACATAAAACAAATGGTCACATATGTTGTACCAAGCTTGCTTTTTTAAAAAATGGTAAAAAAGATGAAGTAGACCGTTCATATGGTTTCCCTCCTACTACAAATGTCTACTGTGCTCCTAATACAAATGCCTACTGTACTCCTTCTACAAATGTCTACTGTGCTCCTACTACAAATGTCTACTGTACTCCTACTACAAATGTCTACTGTACTCCTACTACAAATATCTTCTGTACTCCTACTACACATGTCTACTGTCCTCCTACTACAAATGTCTAGTGTGCTCCTATTACAAATGTCTAATGTACTCCTAATACAAATGTCTACTGTACTCTTACTACACATGTCTACTGTACTCCTACTACAAATGTCTTCTGTACTCCTACTACACATGTCTACTGTACTCCAACTACAAATGTCTACTGTGCTCCTACTACAAATGTCTACTGTACTCCTATTACAAATGTCTATTGTACTCCTACTACAATTGTTAACTGTACTCCTACTACGAATGTCTACTGTACTCCTATTACAAATATTTAATGTACCCCTTCTATAAATGTCTACTGTACTCCTAATACAAATGTCTACTGTTCTCCTACTACAAATGTCTAGTGTGCTCCTATTACCAATGTCTAATGTAATCCTAATACACATGTCTGCTGTAATCTTACTACACATGTCTACTGTACTCCTACTCCAAATGTCTACTGTGCTCCTCCTACAAATATCTAATGTACCCCTTCTATAAATGTCTACTGTACTCCTAATACAAATGCCTACTGTACTCCTACTACAGATGTCTACTGTACTCCTACTAAAAATGTCTACTGTACTCATACAACAAAAGTCTACTGTGCTCCTACTCCAAATGTGTACTGTACTCCTACTACAATTGCCTACTGTACTCCTACTACAGATGTCTACTGTACTCCTACTTCAAATGTCTACTGTACTCCTAATACAAACGTCTATTGTACTCCTACTACAAATGTCTTCTGTACTCCTACGACACATGTCTACTGTACTCCAGCTACAAATGTCTACTGTTCTCTTACTACACATGTCTACTGTCCTCCTACTACAAATGTCTTCTGTACTCCTATTCCAAATGTCTACTGTACTCCTCCAACAAAAGTCTACTGTGCTCCTACTACAAATATCTACTGTCCTCCTACTACAAATGTCTAGTTTGCTCCTATTACAAATGTCTATTGTACTCCTACTACAATTGTTAACTGTACTCCTACTACGAATGTCTACTGTACTCCTAATACAAACGTCTATTGTGCTCCTACTACAAATGTGTTCTGTACTCCTACTACAAATATCTTCTGTACTCCTACTACAATTGCCTACTGTACTCCTACTACAGATGTCTACTGTACTCCTACTACGAATGTCTACTGTACTCCTAATACAAACGTCTATTGTGCTCCTACTACAAATGTGTTCTGTACTCCTACTACAATTGCCTACTGTACTCCTACTACAGATGTCTACTGTGCTCCTACTACAAAAGTCTACTGTACTCCTACTACAGATGTCTACTGTGCTCCTACTACAAAAGTCTACTGTACTCCTACTACGAATGTCTACTGTACTCCTAATACAAATGTCTACTGTACTACTACTACAAATGTCTACTGTTCTCCTACTACAAATATCTAATGTACCCCTTCTATAAATGTCTACTGTACTCCTGCTACAAATGTCTACTGTACCCCTACTCCAAATATCTAATGTACCCCTCCCACAAATGTCTACTGTACTCGTACTACAAATGTATAATGTGCTACTACTACCAATGTCTACTGTGCTCCTACTTCAAATGTCTACTGTACTCCTATTACAAATGTCTACTGTACTCCTACTACAATTGTCTACTGTACTCCTACTACGAATGTCTACTGTACTCCTACTACAAATGTCTACTGTACTCCTACTACAAATGTCTACTGTACTCTTACTACACATGTCTACCGTACTCCTACTACACCTGTCTACTGTACTCCTACTCCAAATGTCTACTGTACTCCTACTACAGATGTCTACTGTCCTCCTACTACAAATTTCTACTGTACTCCTACTACAAATGTTGACTGTACTCCTACTACAAATATCTTCTGTAATCCTACTACAAATGTCTACTGTACTCTTACTACACATGTCTACCGTACTCTTACTACACATGTCTACTGTACTCCTACTACGAATGTCTACTGTACTCCTACTACACATGTCTACTGTACTCCTACTACAAATATCTAATGTACCCCTTCTACAAATGTCTACTGTACTCGTACTACAAATGTCTACTGTGCTCCTACTACAAGTGTCTACTGTACTCCTACTACAAATGTGTACTGTACTCCTGCTACACATGTCTACTGTACTCCTAATACAAACGTCTATTGTGCTCCTACTACAAATGTCTACTGTACTCCTACTACAAATGTGTACTGTACTCCTACTACACATGTCTACTGTACTCCTAATACAAATGTCTACTGTACTCCTACTACAAATGTCTATTGTACTCCTACTACAAATGTCTACTGTACTCATGAAAAATATCAATACAGTTCTATTTTGACAATTTGACTAAAACCATGCTTGGAAAACATAAGCTTCCTATTTAATGTTTAAATAACCAGTGTTCGACAAAAGTACATTCTATAAAAGCTATCCGAATTTTGTAGATTTTGGTAATCTTACCATTTTAGAATAAGTCACTATAATTTGAATGATCACATTGCCTACAAACGCCCATTATGAAATATGATATATCACATCTGTGGATGGGTTCATAGTTAATTACATGGTTTTATTGATGTCACAGATCCTGCTCAGTTAAGTTCTTCTAATGCACTTAAAATCTCCACGGCTAAGTAGTAATGTATTGTTAAATTAAAAGGATTAAAGTCAGAAAAGACCATTTATGAGGACCAATAAGATGAGTTCTAAGAGACAACACTATGATTTAGAGATTATCATCACAAAATCAGTAGCAGAATTTAGCCTGAATCTACTCGGGGCGTTACACTCATAAATCGGAAGGGCGAAACAAATCATCGTGGCGGGCGCACCATAATATAGGTATAGATTACTGCATTGTTTTCGTTTTACAGCGATTGCTTTTGAAGATAATTTGTTGGTAGCGACCCAACAGTGCTCTCGACAAGTGTAAACACCTGTAATTCTGTAGGGTTCAAACCTTCTCTAGACTTTGATCACATCTATATCTGGACATCGTTGACCATTGTCCGGTAGATTATTGGGGCTAACTGGACAGAGACACATCTATCGATTGACCATCCATGATCCATTGTCCGGGAATCAAACTGGACATCTAGGATAATACGTTGTTTATATCACGAACCCGAATCCTGAATGACACGCTCCATTACACGCAAATATATGTAAAAGCACGAGAAATGACCTGCGGAACGATCTGACAAACGACGATGGACTATCCAGCTGACCATCACTGTAGAGGACAAACGTTCCTAACCTTATCAGATATAATGACTGATGCTGACAATTCTAACATGCTTGGACTGAAACCGTCTAAAGTGTGACGGAGTAAACTGAAAAGGTGGGGCTTAGTTTGTTACAAAAGAGCATCAACACGAAGGAAGAATAAGGGTAAACACACGATATGTCGACAGTGACACAGCGGTCAGAGAGACATGTGCAAGTATAAAGAACAGTACTACGAGTTAAACCGAAATTAAATAGAAAGAATTTCTGTATGTTTAAAACAGAAATACAAAGATTTGGCGGATAAATGATTTGCGAGTATAAAAACAGTGATACAGAGTTTAAAATAAAGAGAAGTTTTGTGAGTTTCAAAAAGAAACACTTTTTCGAAATTTATCCCCATCAAATACATAATCATTCCGAAATTAAAAATATGGAATGTTAAAAAATAAGCTTAAAAAGTACAGAAGATATCCTGAGTAAAACGAAGTTGAAGAGAGTGCTCAATGGAGAAATCGCTTACCTTGGCTGTGTCCGTCCGATCGGCCGTCCGGGAATGTGCTCTCGAGAGCAGTGGAGTTCTTTATATGGTCGTGATGATCAATACACAGGCCGCGGAACAGGCGTTAGCAAGTGACGGAATCTGCTAGGAGCATTTTCATGTACAGGTATTGTGACATTTTGCCGCTTGAACAAATAGGAATTTACGCCTCCGAGATCACACGGTTCCGACAAACAAGTCTTGTCCGGGTTCAATGAACCAATCCAATGAACTTCAGCACCTGTACCATTTATTGAAAATGTTTATAGCTGATTGGTCAAATTTGATACAAGTAATCAATGGTGTATATACATCAGCAACAACACCATTAGTTATACAAACAGTCCTTACTGGACAAAGCTGCGTATTAAAATAAAAACATCATTGTTAATAAATAGAACAATGTGATGACGCGCCACATACAATCACTATTGATTACAGATATTACGTACGCCAGATTTTGTTTTCCTTTCAATGGACGATAACATGAACTACGTTCCGCGGCCGTTTCGGAAAAAAACACTTTGTCCTATATCAATACTGCCGGTAACCCTAAGACAGATACAAGATGCTGGCCGTCAAAGAGCTCGTTTGATTCTGATTAATCTTGATTGTAATCGCTCGCGTGACTTCGGTCGCCCACGCGCTGGGAGGGTTGCACGTCTACGCTTGTAGTTTTGAACCCTAACACATAACGTCGGTGTGGGTGCCTATAGATCTGTTCACAGATGAAATGGAAATTGAAGCCAACTTTTTTTAATTCGAAGAAAATGCTGGCTTCGTTTTATAGGAGTTAAAAAAACATTTCAACAAAATTGGATTGAAGACGGTACGGACTCGATATCAATTTTCACAAATGGTAATAAAAATGACTAGCTGCACCATTAAAAATGATTCGGTTCCAAGAACAGAGATTGATAGGTCTGGAGCTACACCAACGTGTCAAGACAAAAAAAGGAATTCCCCTGTCAGATCTGTATAGCGGTTTTGAATGCGTGAGTCTGGCTGTTGACATTGCAATCTATATCCCAACCCTCCTACAATATGGTCATCGTGTATGGTAACATTATTAAATCATGCCGGCAATTGTTGTTCATGTCACTTTGTCACTGCGGCGCCCAAATATTTATTCTATTATAATCGGAGAGTTTTAATTTGTGGTCCACTAATGTAATCTGTGTATACCAAATCCATTAACACAAGAAACAGCCGATACAATTCAAACTCATTAACAGATACCTTACACGAGTATTTTTGTTCCGCTTCTAACAACCCATGTGACGGAGACGGATTTACATATCAATGTGACGGATGAAAACAAAACTGCTAGATTGATCAGGAGCTGTAAAACGGTGTTCAATTGCATACACGTGGTGATGGTGGCAGCCAATGACGCCAGGCTCCATACAAGAAAGCGGTTATTAAGCATCAAATTAATGGCCTAGTGGTACGGCAGTGACAATAGTTAGTGAGTTGTTCTCTCCTATACTCAAAAAGTAATCCATAACAAGAAATAGCTTCACGTGTGTAACTGGTTCTGCACGTGCCCACCACGATGAACCAATTAAAATAAGTTCCATACCTCCACACCATGATGTAACAAAAAAACTTGTTCCCCATCTCCTTACCTTGGTATACCACGCATAATTGGTTTCCCATCTCGGTACCACGATATACCACGATATACCACGTTTTACTGGTTTATCCTCTCCATACCACGATATTCCACGTAGAACTGGTTTATCATCTCCATACCGCGATATACCACGTATAACTGGTTTATCCTCTCCATACCACGATATTCCACGTGTAACTGGTTTCTCATCTCCATACCACGATATACCACGTAAAACTAGTTCTCTACCTCCACTAACTTGTTTCTCATCTCCATACCACGATATAACACGTATAACTGGTTTATCCTCTCCATGCCACGATATTCCACGTAGAACTTGTTTCTCATCTCCACACCACGATATACCACGTAAAACTAGAACCCCACTTCCACCATGATATACAACTAACAAGTATATTCCTCATCTCATCCTGTAAACAGTCCCTTGACCGGGTTGACTACTTAGCTTGGTGTCTTCGACAGGGTCTTCAGTGAGGTAGCACTCTCAAGCTGGAATCAGGTCCGCGCTGTTGCAAATACAAAAACATAACGGCTCCAGCTCACACACGTAGAGGAACGTCAACGTTTACCCCATTAAACCACAAAACATGGCACGTTTCACCGTTTTCTAACTCAACACCATGGCGTGTGTCACCAGTCCGTCTCACCATCATGACACAAAATCATTCTCGCGTTTCTGATTCCACATTACTATAAAGAACTCATGGAACTGATCTTTTATTTGAACATCTTAGTATTACGCGTGTTGACATTACCGGCGTCTGGTATTATTGCCGTCTCTAGCCAAATCAATAAACCCAATCGATGTTCAACAGTAAGAAATATGATTTCCCAATTTGAGTCAGAAAATGAGCATTGTAATTCAATTCAAAATAAGATAATAAAAACACTGGATTATATTTTGATTTATTTTTACCTGTTAGACCCGTTCCCGTGGTTTCCAGAGATGCAGGTTGATGAAGACTGTTAGACAGTTTTAGGGTCGCCATCATGCTCCTATAAGAAAACAGAAAGAATATCATTTTCCAGAGCGATATGAAAATTACGTTTATTTGTGTACAATGTATTTTCGTTTTCCCAGTTCTCAATATAATTTATAGTTAACAATAATTTACATGGCGGGAGCCGCCGATGAGACAGAAGACATGTTATCCTTGTACATTTCAAGGGGCTCCGGGTTTAATTTTTTCTTTTTCATCGATTTTGAATTATTTGAATTATTGTTTTTTAAAACTTTCCAAAGTGTTTCTGCTGGTGCAGTTTCGTGCTCGAAGACAATCAACATCCGGTAACTTTTATGCACGATTTTTCTTTGATAGTATAGAAGAACTCCTAAGCTGATACTAAATGATCCATTAGCAAAAGGCTGAGTACCACAAAACGACGTAACAAAAATACCAACTTTGTCAAATATATAAATATATACCCAGTGTTTTAATTCTGACACTTGTTGTAGTCAGATCTACACTAGTTACTAGGGCTGCAACGATACGTTAACATGACGATACCATACGTATCACGAAACCTTGGTCCCGACACGATATGTATCACCATACATACAGTAACAGTAGCAGCATAGAGAAAAAAAGATATGTTACAAATTGTTACTGGCAGTATTACAACAGGAAATAGACTTGGTTCGAAAGGGGCATGACTTTAAAGTTTCACAAAATTCTCGTCTTTCGGCGTGCATGCCTACCTGGAGCTGTTACTCGCCATTTGGGAACGGATATTAACAGACTAAATTTAGAAAAGACAAAATCTGGAATATATAGTAGGTGTATCGTGACCTCCAAAAGAATATTGTGTATCGTACCATATTCAAAATATCGCGATATATCGTCGCACTGTATATCGTTGCAGCCCTACTATTTACAGGACTTCATTTTGCTCCTATGCCATCCAATAAAGAAGGCGCCCTGACCATTTTTTTCCGAGTCCACATTCCAGGAAAGGTTTACTATGTAACGTAGACAGCGAGATGAACATGGCATTAGACATAGGTACGGCTACGCCATAAGGAAGTAATGGCTGAGTGGACTCTGTAGGAATTTGTTATAATGTCTTCGTTTATCCCTCAAAGGAGACGTTATCGTAACTATGGACGTCGACCTTTCACAAGTCCAACCAAATACAATGTTATGTGTGTAGACCTTTTACATACTCTGGAGATACTGCCTTTATCAGGTTGGTGTTTCCTATGTTCGACATTTATTGTTGTTTCCCGCTCGCTGCATAACGAACATTACAAGGCTATTTAAATACATCAGTTCCTGATAACCTTTGAAAACCATCGTGGAGACTTCATAAAACCATTGATGTTGTCGCACAAATTTAAATGTATTCTTTCGCATCGGTACGAAATTCCGGAAATTCGCCATTTTATAAAGTCGAATGATTTGCCAACAAGGGTTAGGATGTTATAGACGTCAATTATATCTCACAGCCTAAGTCCACCACAGCCATCATACTTCAGGTCCGCAATCATTTCGTACATGTATTATATAAAAAACAAAGCTACAAAGTTCTTTATCTACATGCAAACACTTTAACATATGAATTAAGATTTCATTAGAATCAACAGTTCTTCAGTAGGATTTATGTTCTCCATCGCAACATAATAATTATGACACAGCTTTGCACCAAGTAACTGCCAATCTAAATAGTATCCATGATATCAATCTATGAAAGCTTTCCATATGGTCAAAATTGTCCAACTGTATTAAAATGTGATATGCTAACGAGCGTGCATTGCGATGTTATTATCACTACCCCAGGTTTAACCTTGAGAACGCGACATTATCGCTTTCACCCCCAAAACTTCCTAATGAACTATTTCAACCTTTGACTTGGAAGAGTTCAAATGTGTCTTCAGGAGTGAATGATTTAAGATGATTTGACCTAGATAAAGCACACGACGCTATATGTTCCCTTGATTTCAACGATTTTTTTTATCTAATTTAAATTACGGTTTAGTTTACTCTTCGTTATTCTCTTGGTTGTCCTCACATATAATTCACTACCTTTTCAATTTGGTTATTTTTTCAAACGAAAATTTCCAGAATAATGAAATCTGAAACATAGTTATTAAATTTGTCTTAAGAAACCCTTTTACGAGTCCTAATGTATATATAATAAAACAGACGAACTTTTCCTTGTGTCTTGTAACCAATGAGGTGAAACCAGGCTTTTGCCGAGGTTGACGTCAAACTAGGGTTTGTTTCAAAAAGTGTGTTTAGAATAATAAGCTGATTTGATGACCGACGCTTTAAAGATTGCCGGAAAGAAATTCGCATGGAAGGGTTAAAGATGAGGCTAATTCCTATCTATCGTATTGTTTATTTCCATAAATCTCTCAATTCCAATAGAATTTTGACTTGATTTATAAGAATGATATAAATAAATTCCTCTTGATTGAATCATAAACATTAGGACCGACAGATCATTCCGAGGCTTTGTGTCTTGTCACCAAGTTCTATCAGCACTATGTACTAGATCGCATGTTCGTACAATAATCAATCATCAATTTAGGTTTTACGTCACCATACCCTGGCCTAATACTGACCGTCCGGCCAGTGGCCATTTGTCTTGGTCAATATACAAATCGGTTAAATACGTTTTCTCGTGACCTGTTCAGTCTCGTCTGTCACATAAAGCAAAAATTAGGTGATAGCAATGGTGAGCGCCTTCCAGA